CCTCCTCCTCCTCCTCCTCCTCCTCTTTTTTCCTCATTCTCCCCCTCCTCCTCTTCTTGCTCCCCCATGCGTTCCCCGAAGTCTTTCCAAACCGATTCGGGGAACACGTGGCCCGAGGCCACAGAGGCACTTCCAAAAAGGGCAGGGGGCGGCGGTGATTCGCAGTGGGCGTCGTCGATCCGCCGCCCCCTGTTGATTCATCACAGGGGTGCCTGGCGTGCTGAATCCTTTCGCTTTTGGTTTTGGTTCTTTTCCCCAAAGAACTCTCCCTGGGGCTTCGGCTCGTCCCGCCGGCCAACCGAAAGGGACCTCAACGACCGCAAAAAATGCTCCAAGACGTGGCATCGAAGTCGCCAAGGATGGTCCAAGATGGCTTCCGAGACGGCCCGAGAGAGTCCAAGATGCCTTCACATTCGTCCAAGAAGCCTCCCAAACCGCCCTATATGGCTCCAAGATGGCCCACGACTGGCCACGAGGCCCCCAAGAGGCCTCCAAGACGTCCTCCAGGAAGGCCCGAAAGGACAAAAATCATTGATGTTCCTTAGGTGTTTGAAGGATCTTGGCATGTTCTTCCTATCAGCCTTCCGACGGCCCAAGACGGCCCAAGAGGCCCCCGACATCGTCCCAAGAGCGCCCAAGAGGCCTCCAAGATGGCGCCATGACAGCCCAAGAGGCCCCCAAGGCGGCCCCAAGAAGAGCCAAGACGCCCCAAGATGGCCCCGAAGACGCCGAAGATGGCCTCCAAGACGGCCAAGATGGCCTCCAAGATGCCTCCAAGACGGCCAAGAGGCCTCCAAGACAGCGAAGATGGCCCCAAGATGCACCCAAGACGCCCCAGATGGCCTCAAGATGGCCTTAGACTGCCCAAAAGGCCCGCAAGAGGCCTCCAAGACGGCCCAAGACCCCTCCAAGTCCTCCAGGAGGCCCGAAAGCTCGGAAACCACCTGGTCCGATAGCTCGCCCGACTCCGTGTTCCCCGAAGGCTTTCGAAAGCCACTCCGGGAGCACGTGGCCCGATAGCTTGGTCAAGCTCAAACCCAACTTTCGGCTACGCAGGCGCTTCCAAAAAGGCAGGGGGCGGCGGTGTTTCGCCGTAGGCGTCTTCGATAACTTCCACGACCGTCGCAAGCTCTGACTCCTTCTGGGGGTCGGCGGAATGGCGTAAGACACGTGCAACACTTATTCTTCATTCCTCCCTCCTATCGACGACCTCATCACCCCCCCCCTGCAGACAGCATGCCTGCCGCTTGGTGAACAGGCCGGCAAGCCTGCGCGATGCATCGGGCTCGCGGGGAGGCTGGCGAGGAAGGAGGAAGAGTCCGAGTGCGAGTGATTCTGAGTGCGAGTGAGAGTAGGCGTGGCCGAGTCTAAGCGTGAAGACTTCGGAGTATGGCTAAGCTGGGTATGAGTGAGTCGGAGACCGAGTGGTCTGAGTGAGTCTGAGTGTGAGCGAGTCTGACCGTGAGTAAGACTGAGTGTGAGTGAGCCTTCGGATGAGTGAGTCTGACTTTGATTGAGGGGATATGAGGAAGGAGGGGGGTGGGAGGAGTCGGAAGCAGCACGCGAACAACAAGTACCCCACACTCAGGATAAAGGGATTCCAAAACACGTTCATTGACTTTGACGGTCTCCTGAACACCCAAGACGGCAAATGGGATCTCCCAGATCGCACTCAGACGTGCCAAAGCAAGCCCGAAGACTGCCCGAGCAGGGCCCAAGACGGCTCAAGAGGGGCACACCACGACCCAGGAGAGTCCATGAAGGAAGAGCTCAAGAATGGCAACGAGAGCCCCTAGATGGCCCAAATGATGGATTCCGGAAACCCTGCTGAACCCAAAAATGTTGTCATCTCTTGCGGGCGCATGTTTTACTTCCGCCACCTTCTGCCGCCTTCCGCTGGCGGAGGCGGCCTCGTTTTACCTATGCCGACCTTCCGCCGCCCTTCCGCCGCCCTTCCGCCGAGGAAGAGATGATAACGCCTTCGATCCTCGAAGGCAAAAGGCCCTCCTTGGAACGCCCCAGGACCACTGCTGCGGAGCCTCCGTGCGGGCCGCAGACGCCCCCAAGACGGCACCCGAGGGCTCTGGGCGGCTCCGGAGCGCCACGGGACGGACTGGCAGCGCCCCACGGCGGCCCCAGAGAGCCCCAGGAGGCCCAGGGGGGCTCACACACACGCACACACACACGCACACACCGATCCTGAGCCCAGGATCGGCCTGGCCAGTATCTGTGTAATCACACCGCTGGCGCCCTCTTCCTTCTCAAACATCGGCCCCTGGACCTCTCTGGGAGTTCGTGACGACTAAAACTGCCAACCTATCTCTACAGTCGAACAGATGTGTGGTTGACGCCCTCCGATCTGCAGGCAGGAAGGTAGCGGGTCCTGGTGGACGCGGGTCCTGGTCGGATTCGCAGAAGGCATCTATACACCACCACCGTGCCAAGGCAGGGCCATCCTGGGCCCCAGGATAGTGTATACGCCCTCCTGGCCGAGGCCAAGAGGGTCTATACACCATCCTGGGGCCCAGAATGGCCATGGCCTGGCACGGTGGTGGTGTATAGATGCCTTCGTCGGACCAGAACGAGCTTCCCATCTCTTTGACGGCCCTGGAGCCTGGCCCAGAAGGGCCCAAGAGCAAAAGAACAGCTGCACACATGAGACCAAATACTAAGACTGTAAACGAGCAAAAAACCTCACGAATGGCAGGAGCAATGATAGCAATTAAAACAACAACGGAAATACAACTAGAGAAACATATGGACAAGCGGCGAAAGCATAAACTCTCGGAGGTCCGAGCCGAGTTCTTGGGTCGACGGTGGACCAATCTGCCCGGGCGCTCTGAGCGCGGCAGGGGCGGCGCCGGCGGCACCGCTGAGAAGGGCCCGGCGCCGACTCCAGGAAGCCACGCGGACCGCCGAGTTTGATGGTGCTGCTTAGACCCCAGGGCCACGGCCGTCCACGGCGGCAGCAAAACCGAGAGCCGACCGAGCCGACAACGGAGCCGAAGCCGAAGCCGGCCGCACACGCCGGCCCCGAAGCCCGCAAGAGGGCGCGGCGGCGCAGCCGCGGCACACCGCACCGCAACCACCGCACGCCAGAGAGCGAGCCGACCGAAGCGCGGACGCCCTGGAGGGCCTGCTTCCTCCAGGGCCTTCTGCTGACGCCACGGTCGTGGCCACGCCGAGCGCAAAGTAGAGCGAGCCGCCAGGGCGTCCGCGGTCTGGGCCTGTTTCCCTCCAGGCCCCTTCTCTGTGCCGCGGTCGCGGCCACACCGCCGCGCCGATCGATCCAACCTTGAACGATCGCGGCCTCTCGATGGCGCCGATCGTGCCCCACCGGCTGATGCCGGGCCGCTGGCGGCATCCGACCTGGAACGCCCGCGGTGGGGGGCCGCCGTGGCGTCGGCGCGGCGCGCTCCTCCGCCGTGGCCGGCGCCCTCCGAGGTTGCGGGCCGCGCCCGCTCTCGGCCAAGCCTCGAACAGCGTAGGATGGCCGCCGCGGCAGAGGGGGGCGAGACGACGACAGCGGGGAGGACACGGCGGATGACGAGAAGGAGGAGGAGGAGGAGGAGGAGGAGGAGGAGGAGGAGGAGTACAGAGGAGGGGGGGGAGAGAGGAGGAGGAGGAGGAGGAGGAGGAGGAGGAGGAGGAGGAGGAGAAGGAGGGAGGTTTGGCAGGAGGAGAAGGCGGAGGAGGAGGAAGAGGAGGAAGAGGAGGAGGACGAGGCGGAGACGGAGGAGGAGGAGAAGGAGGACGAGGAGAGGGAGACGAAGGGAGGAGGGGGGGGACTACGACAGCGGGGAGGAAACGGCGGATGACGAGAAGGAAGAGGACACGCTCTCGGGCATCTTGCCCAGCCTGTCGCACTTGTCCTGCCTTTCAATATTCCGTGCTGGCCTCGCCAATCCGTTGCCACCTATTCTGCGTCGGCTCGTCACAGCGCTTGTTTTGTCCACGGTACAAGAACTACAATCCGTGGATTCAAGATGGCGCGACGTCAAAAGAGGAGGAGCAGCACAGAGGCAGGGGGGCGAGAGAGGATGAGTACGAGGACGTGGAGGAGGAGGAGGAGGAGGAGGAGGAAGAGGAGCAGGGAGAGGAAGGGAGGAGGACGAGGAGAAGAAACAGCAGGGAGAAGGGAGGGGAGGAAGGAACATGAGGAGGACTTGTTTTCAAGGCTCCCTGCGAAAGCATGGAGGTGACCTTCATTCCGACGCTTCCGAGGGTGAATGAGGACGACGACAAGGAGCTGGGCAGGGGGAGAAGAATTCGGGAATTCGGGGGCCAGAAAAAGTCTGACGAGGCTGCCACACACGTGCCGTGAGCTCGACGAACAACGAGGCGAAGGACAAGAGCACGCGCACGCACCCAAACACGAACTCCACACAATACGACGCTTGACTGACGCAACCTCCCAGCATAGCACGACGCAGAAACATCATAACCCCAGCACCGAGAATATTGCAAGCAGCACATCGCACTCGTAGGAGCCGCAGCCAAGCACCGAACAGTACGAAACAAAAGCGCGGCCCCACCATTTAGAAACAGCATTGTGACCACATGTGGAGAACGACCTTGTCCTTACTGGACGCACCGCGTGCTCCTCTGCATTTCCCGCACGCGGGATCAATCTCCTTGGCGCAGCACAGCTGAAACACTCCCATCCATGAGCAAAAGACTGACATGCTGACATGTACTAGAATACCTGTCATCTCGAGCAGCCAGGTGAATAGAATGAAAACCACTGGCCACGGGTGGTTCCGTCTCGAAAGCGCGACGACCACCCCGCACTGCATCCCTCGAGCACAGTAATTGAAAAAATCCGTGCTTAATTCAGAAGATTGAAGGCCGTACTCAACGAATTCGCCCAGTCTCGCAATTCGGCAGCTGCTGCAAAGACACAGCCGCTCCAGGAGTCGAACTCCCCCAACACCAACTGAAGACACTGGACGCGGCATGAGGCCCGTCGCACGGCCAGGTGTTACGGATGGGACTCGGGACTCGCGTGCTCGAGGATGGAGGAGGAAAAAGAAGAGGAGGAGGAGGAGGAGAAGGAGAAGAAAAATAATAATCAGAAAAAAGAAGAAGAGCAGGCTGGAAGAGGAGGAATGGACTGGAGTAGCACAATCGCGAAGCAGAGAAACACGACCCGAACAACTGGCCTCAACATTCGGGTCGGCTTGGCTTGGGCTGACACTTGGGCCGCTTTGCCCTCGTGAAAAAACTGCGCACACACTTCTGAAATCGGGGTGGCCACTACCAACCCGCCCGCTGACAGGAGTGCGGCCACTCAATAGGCCATTCACAAAATATGATTCGAGCACGAAGCGTCCCACTTCGAAAGCAGTCCTACCGAGAGCCGAGAACGCTTCGCACACCAGCCCCCCCGCAGCGCGACGAGGAACCCACGAGGAGGCCCAGACAGGAGCAAACACCAACAGCGGCCCGAAGAAGAGGGGAGGGAGAGGGGACCGGAGGGAGAGAGGAGAAGAGGGGGAGGTGGCGGGGGGGGAGGGGGGTCGCTGCCAGGCCTTGCCACACCCCCGCGGAGACGGAAACCCAGGAGGCCCGCAGGCAGCACCCAGAGACGCCCCACGAGCCCCGAGGCAGGTGGGCCCCCAGCCCCCCGCCACTTTTCCGAGCCGAGCGCAAACGCTACGGGGCGGCTCAAGAATGTGGCCACTCGGCTGTGGGAGGCGAGGCCGCCCCGGCTGTGCCGCGTTGCTGGTCATGGCCGCCCAGTCGATCAGCTGGCCTGTCGACGCAACGTCTCGCGGCGCCCCAGCAGCACGACCTCGAAGGACGCCAGCATCCCGAAGCAACCGTGCTCGATCTGCACTCGAGTTCCATCGCGCGCCACTGGCTGCAGCCCCTCCGTGGGTCTCCCAAGGCTCCGCACCCTGCGCTCATGGCGCATCGGCCAGCACATTGCTCTTGAACGGGCTGAACGGGTCGACGGCCTCGTTGCTGAGAGGCGCGCGCTCCGCCCAGGGCACCCGTGCTGCATCTCCCGAGGCGCATCGCTCCACAGCGGCGAACTGCTCCGCCGAGGTCCTCCTTGCAGGGGCCTCGATGCTCTGAAATGACACAGCCGCCGCCACGGTGTCGAGTCGCTCGCGAGCGGGGAACGTATCCATATCCGCGCCCTTGCGGTCTGGATTCTGGAACGCGATCCCGCTGATAGGCGGTCGCACGAAAACGTTCCGTGCGAGGCATCCGCGAACAAAAAAACGCCCCGTATCCGCGGGGTCGCGGCCGAGGGCCCTGGCCCACGAGGCCGCGGATACATACATGGTTTTCGCCCACGAGATATTATGCTCCTCCATACTCGGCTTCTCGACCTGCCTCCTGACCAGTTTCCACAGCTGCATCGCCGGCCACAGCAGCAGGCGCGCCGCGAGGCGAACCAGCAAGCGCCATGCTCCGCGCGGCGGCCGAGCACGGTCGGAGCTGCTGGCCTCGCTGCTGCTCGATCTCCTTGTCAAGGTCTTGAACACGGCCCTGCCCCCGCGCGTAAGATTGCGCGCGGCGCTCCGCGGCCGACCGAGTTCTGGCACGGATTCCGTCGCCCGCGGCGAGGGCACGGGGCGGGCCGCGGCCAGGACGAGGGGGAGGGGAGGGCAGCGCGGGGAGCGCCCGGCGCGGGCTCGCGGGGCCAGTGGGGGCCTGGGCCGAGCTGGCAGCTTGCAGGAGGAGGAAGAGAACGAAGAGGTGGAGAAAGGAGGAGGACGAGGAGGTGGAAGCTTGCCTGGATAAGCTACGGGGAATTCTGGAGTTTGCCCTAAGGTATGCTGGGGGTGAGGAGGAAGAGGACAAAGTGGACGTGATGGAGAAGGAGGACGAACTCCGATCTGCCAGCCGCGCCTGCTCGCCCAGTCCTCGTCGGTGGACACCAGGGCCCGCAAATTCGGCACGTTCCGCAACGCGTCGGCCACGAACTCAACCTCCTGAGCCGCCAATGCGGCCGCCGTCGTCATGGCCGTCGTGACCGTGGCGGACGTCGTCGTCGGTCGCGGCAAACGTCGCCGTCGTAGTCGTCATCGCCGTCATGTGTCATCGTCCGTCGCGGTCGTGACAGTCGTCCCCCTTTTCCTCCCTCCTCCCTCCTCCTCTCCTTCCTCATCAGATGATGGGTTTTATTGTTACCATCCCTAGTATGGGTTTTAGTCTGAATAGTAGTACTAGTGTTGTTAGTAGTCGTGGTTTCCTTATGTTTCGTATTATCACTCCCACTGGCACTCGTAATACCAGTATTTGCATTATTGTACACTTATTAGTATGCAAATGATACGTGTTCGTAGTAGTGTTAGCAGTATGGAAAATATACCGTATTCGTAGTTGTCTGGTTCATGGTATTAGTCGGAGCCTTCCTGAGCGTATGAGTAGTACTCCAATGTTGGGGCCACCTTAATAGTATCATTACTCATATTGTTAACCGCGTCATTGCCAGTAGTACTGCCAATGTGATTATGAGTCCTATTCGTACCATCGCAACGGTTAGTTTACTGATATGTGATATGGTGCTACGACTTGTGATAATAATATCGGGCTGTTGTGTCTTATGGATCCTCATCCTCCTCCTCCACCTCCTCCTCCTCCTCCTCCTCTGCCTCCTCCTCCTCCACAGTTTCCTCCTCCTCCTCCTCCTCCTCCTCCTCCTCCCGTCCACCTCCTCGTCCTCCTCCTCCTCTTCCTCCTCCTCTGCCTCCTCCTCAATTATGACGTCGCTCAAACGTGAAGCGCAAGCCTGGCGCGCTCTAGTACAACAAATCAATGTAGAATGCTGACTTAGGTAAAGCACAAACAAATCAGCTGGCGGGCGGGCGCAGCAAGAAAAGGAAGGGCACGGAGGCGCGAACATTGTGCAGGGTCCAGAGACCCTGGAGCATGCGCCCACCAGGCCGCAGACATCAGCTAAGCCTGGTGGCACATTGGTGTCACCCCCCCCCCCCCAACATACCTCAGGATAAACTCCAGAATTCCCCATAGCGTATCCAGACAAGCTGTGGCGAAACAAACAAAACCTGGCGCAAGAACCAACCATATGCAGTCGTGAATACAGTCGTTGGTAATATCGCCGTCGGTGGAACTCTTTATGGGCCACGAAACGCGAAAGAGTGTGCCGAAATGGGGCGGGGCCGCCATGCTGATGCTGCTACTGGGGCCTGGTGTAGAGCCCCTGTATGGGGCCACGACACGTGTGAGGGATGCTCCAAGATGGGGCGGCGCCGCCATGCTGACTGGGCCACTGGGACCTTAGGTGGGGCTCCCCATGGGGCCACGAAGCGTGTGATGGGTGTGCCAAAATGGGGCGGCGCCGCCATGCGGACTGCGCCACTTGGGCCTTGCGTGGAGCTCCCTCTGGGGCCACGAAACGCGTGAGGGGTGTGCCTATATGGGGCCGCCATGCGGACTGCGCCACTGGGACCTTAGGAGGAGCTCCCTCTGGAGCCACGAAACGTGTGAGCGGTGTTCCAAAATGGGGCGGCCGCGCCATGCGGACTGCACAACTGTGACCTTAGGTGGAGCTCCCTATGGGGCCACGAAACGTGTGAAGGGTGTGCTCAAGTGCAGCGGCGCCGCCATGCGGACTGCGCCACTTGGGCCTTATGTGGAGCTAGCCCCCTATGTGGCCACGAAACGTGTGAAGGGTGTGCCCAAATGGGGCGGCGCCGTCATGCGGACTGCGCCACTGGGGCCTGCGGTGGACCTCCCTCTGGGGGCACGAAACGTGTGAGCGGTGTGCCAAGATGGGGCGGCGGCGCCATGCGGACTGCGCCACTGGGACCTTAGGTGGAGCTCCCTCTGGGGCCACGATACGCGTGAGTGGTGTTCCAAGATGGGGCGGCGGCGCCATGCGGACTGCACCACTGGGACCTTAGGTGGAGCTCCCTCTGGGGCCACGAAACTTGTGACGGGTGTGCCAAGATAGGGCGGCGGCGCCATGCGGACTGCGCGACTGGGACCTTATGTGAAGTTCCCTGTGGGGCCACGAAGCGCGCGAGGGGTGTGCCAAAGTGGGGCGGCGCCGCCATGCGGACTGCGCCACTGGGACCTTATGTGAAGTGCCCTGTGGGGCCACGAAACGCGTGACGGTGTGCCAAACTGGGCGGAGCTGCCAGGCTGCCATGCGGACTGCGCCACTGGGACCTTTGTGGAGCTCTCCGTGGGGCCACGAAACGTGTGCAGGGTGTGACGAATACGATGACGTGTATGGTGATGATGACGATGATGATGATGATGATGATGATGATGATGATGATGATGATGATGATGGTAGTGGTGATGTTAATGACGATGATGGAGACATTGATGATGATGATGATGACGACGATGATGATGGTGATGGCGATGGTGATGACGATGATGATGATGATGATGATGATGCTGATGATGATGATGATGATGATGGTGATGATGATGATGGTGATGATAATGATGGCAGGAGGAAGGAGGGGGAGGAAGAAAAGAGGATGGAGAGACGCGGCGCGTTGTCTCTTCAAAACGAGGACCCCACACCACAGGAGGGCTGGGAAAAAAGGGAAAGCAAGAAGTGAAACGCGGTAAAAGGTAAAATATTCAGACGACTCTCAGTGTACGCTGCAAAACCTGGTGTAACCTTGGTACTCCTCCCCCGAGATACGCATCCACATACCTCCCAATCTGTGTAGGTGCAAGCGAGTAGCGCTAAAGTGAAAGAGGTGCATGTGTGAACACAAGCTGAGGAGAAACGCAGCGCGAGTAACTCTGCAACACGGCAAATTGCGGGGCCGCACCCTGATGTCCAAGGGGGCCTGGAAGATGGCGGCCAGATCGATGATGAAGCGAAATAAAAAATAGCACACGTGTGTAGTAAGCTGTAGCGAACGGCTGGCCAGGTCGATATTGGTCGGCTTGGAGAGAGCCGCCTTTGAAATGTCCCCCTGGCCTTCTTAGGCCTCCCGCTAGCCAGCAGTGGGCCCGCTCTGCGGTTCCTCTGGAGGGATGCACCTTCACCGTATGATAGACAGAGGGGATACTGCTGGCATGCTGGATGTGCTGTCTTGTCTGCAGGCACTGAAAGACTGGTAGGCTGGCCAAGCTGTGCTGGCCGGTCTTGATAGGTTGACTGGAACTAGTGCTGGCATGCTGGATGTGCTGGCATGGCTTGGCGTTGAAAGCACTTGTAGGCTGGCCAGGCGGTACGTCACGGTGCGCTGCACGTAGGCCTGCGGGAGCGGACCCAGCGAGACGGTCGAGGGTGCGCCCTGTGTAAAGATCGTGGGGTTCCCGAAGGCGTCCTACTCCGTCGGGATACAGTCAACCCAGGAAGCAACGCGATAAGGATGCAAGGGCCTGGGAAAGCCATGTCGGCGTTTTCGAGCGGGGCTGGCCAGCGATAGTGGCCAAGGATGGGCCGCAGGGGCAAGAATGCAGAGGGTAGGCTTCGCAAGTTGCTCATCCTTGCTATGCGGGCTGACTGTAGCCCCTCCGAAAAAATTCTACGTGTGCTGTTTGTTTTTCGTCGAGACTTCCCGTCGGTCCTTCTGTCCCGCGACAAGGGGCGGGCGGGCCCAGCGAGGTCGAGAGTGCGCCCCGTGTGCAGATCGTTGGGCTCTCGGCGGTATCTGCTTCCCCTCCGACAGTTTATGCGTGTGTTTTTGTTGTTGGCGGCCTCCAATTTGTGGTCCGAGTAGACGGGGTCGGAGGATTGCGCCGCATCGCCAATGCATCGCCGACGTTGGCGTTGCATCGGCGACTGCGGCGTGGGAAAGATCGGGCCCCACATCGAGCCGCCTGGCCGAGGCATCGGCGACGTGGCGCGATCCTCCGACCCCATCTGCTCGGACCCCATCTGGAAGGTCCAGATTTGTTCTTCCTCGAGACTTCCCCTCGGTCGGTTCTGGCCTGCGCGGCGAGGGCCGCGCGGGCCCGGGGCTCCTCCCGCTCAAGACGGGCGTCCCCTGCCTGCGGCTGCAGGCTGGGCGCGGAGGCGGCGTGGCGCGGCGCGTTGCGGAGGGCCTCGGCGGCGCACGGCGGGAGGAGGGGGTCAGAGGGCGGCTAACGCCTCGCGGCCCTCGCGGTCTGGACTCGGGTCTGGGCTCCCTCGCGGAGCTGGAGGAGGAGGCGCCGGGGAAGGGGAAGGGGGGGGAGGGGGGAGGGGAAGGGGGGAGGGGGGGGCACATGCAGGTATATCGTGGCAGATCTAGGTAAGTCCAGAGATCTCGAGGGAAGTTTGGAGCAGATCGCGGTCGCTCCAGCGCGAGACGAGGGACGACAGAAGTCGTTAAGCCCGTAACGCGGGAGGGGGGGGGGAGGCGAGGAAAACCGAGGCCCGAGGAGCTGGAGACAGAGGGGCCAGGGAGGGAAAGCGGAAGACGGTCTCCCCCCCCCCCTTCCGCTCCCTTCACTGCCCCTCGCTTCGGCACTCTCCGCCCGCTCTTTTGTGCCTCGGGATGTGATTGTTCTGCAGCTGCGCCTCGCCGGGGGCGTGCTTCGAGTAGGGGATCGACTACGGAATTCATTTACCCCAGACTTGATTTGTTCGTCGAATATACAAGCAATTATACGTGTTTTCGTAGATTCCGCGAAGAAATCAATTTTGGGGCACAGCGTGCAGCTTCATTCCGTAGGCTGAGTTAGACTCCTCCAGGTTCGTAATGTGACAACTTGCGCCTTGGTTGTGCATGGATCCGCATGGATCATCGAACCTTGAAAGGTCGCGGCTTTCCTGCGGCGCGGATCGCTGGATGTCGGCCGATTCCAGGCCACTGGCGGCGTTCATTCAGCAGCGAACGGCCGCGCTTTGGACGCCGCCGCGTCGACACGACACGAGCCTGCCTTGAGCGGCATGAATCCAGATTACCGGATGTCGGCCAAGAGTGCACCAGGGCTGATCCTGAACACAACCTCCCAGCCTCCCAGGAGTGGAAACCTATCGCGTCAAAAAAACGCGGATGACACCTACCCCGTCGACGACGACGACGACGACGACGATGAAGGCGGCAGTGGCGGCGGCGGCGGCAACGGCAGCGGAGGCGACGGCGACGTCGACGGGATTTCAATGGTTTCCCAGGCGATTCCTCTAGAATGACGACGAGGACGAGCACAACGAGGAAGCGGACGATGACGAGGACGAGGACGACGACGAGAAGGACGAGGACGAGGACGGAAGACCTCGAGGGGAAGAAGGCCTTCAAGGCGACGACGACGACAACAACAAACAAACAAACTAACTAACAAACTAATAAACAAACAACCACCAACAACAACCACAACAACAACAACAATTACTAGCACGTGGGGACACTCCGTTCTCACCAGTGCCAGGGTTTTCATACGACGCCCGCCAATACCCCCACTTTGTGGGGGGGCCGGTTCAAGCTCTACCACATTTCCAAACGACTCTTCGCCACCACCCACACCCAGCTTCCCGCCCTATGACGTTCGGACACTTCACTTCGTGGCCTGCGGACGACCGTGGCTACTACACTGGCGCATGGGTACAGTGACTTGTTGTGGTAACATTTTCTGGACGCTAGCTTAGTATACGACTTTTCCCCCTGTTCCAACACTGGACACCTGTACTGGTTTTTGGTGGTAACGTGTTCCTGACGCTAGAATAGGAAACCACGGTAAACCAGTACGACGCCGGTACTGTCTGTAGGTCCTACAATGATATGGACTGCTTTGGCTGGTGAGACGCTAGCGTCTGATACGACGTTTTTCCGTTTCTATTATGGTATTATTTGACAGGGATGATGGCCCTGGCAGGTGCGCAACCGTTGTTGGAGAAGTTCGAAAAAAAGTTGCTCGCAAAAGCCCGTTTGACAGAAATGTTTAAAAAAGTGTTGGGTTTCCTACAAATCCGCAAGAGCGCGCGGGATGAAATTTTCACTTTTTTTTTTTTTTGAAAAACCATTGGTTTTTTGATGTTTTTATGTTAAAATCGCTACGAACACTAAGGTTTTGGAAGGATTTCGTCTTGCGCGCGCGAATGTCCACTTTACCTTATTTTTTGCAAGGGATTCTTGAAGTTTGGTTATGTTAGAACAAGAAATGTCCACTTTGCCTTATTTTTTGCAAGGGAAAACCGCCCGTAACAAAACAACCGGATCCGGACCAACCCGTTTTGCCGGAGACTTCCTCACGAAAATGATGAAAGCATGGCTGCGGCCTAGGCGCGGCGAGGGGGCCGTGAACCAGGGGTCCCAACAATAATTATTCTTTAGAAGTAATAATGTTCAACAACAACAACAACCACAACAACAACAACAACAACAACCACCACCACCACCACCACCACCACCACCACCACAACAACAACAACAACAACAACGACAACGAGAACGAGAATGACGACGACGACCAACACGACGACGACGACCAAAACGACGACGACGACCGACGACGACGACCAACACGACGACGACGACGACGACGACGACCAGCACGACAACGACGACGACGACGACGACCGACGACGACCGACGGCAACGACCAAGACGACGACCGACGACGCCCGACGACGACCGACAACGACAACGACACTGACAACGACAACGACGACGACGACCAACGGCGACGACAAACACGACGACGACGACGACCAACGACAACGACGACGACGACAACGACAACGCCGACGACGACGAAAGACGACGATAAACAACACCACGACGACGACGATCAACGACGAAGACGACGCGACGACGTCTAAGACGACGACGACGATGACGACAACGACGGAGGAGGTCGAGGAAGGGAGAACAACAAGAATGAGGATGGGGAGATGATGGAGGAGGAGGAGGAGGAGGAGGACGGTGGAGGAGGACGGGAGGTGGAGGCGGAGGAGGAGGAGGAGCAAGAGGAGGAGGGAAGATGGAGGTGGAGGAGGAGGAGGAAGAGGAGGAGGATGGAGGAAGAGGAGGAAGTGATGGAGGAGGACGGAGAACGAGACCTCGAACCGAACGTCTTCGACGCTTCGATAGAGCGGCGACGGCGAGGCGCGCGGCGCATCGCGGTGGAACGCGCGCGCGGCGCCGAGCACGGCCGGCCGGGGCCACTGGGCGCGCAGACGTTCGCCGGGTCAGAGGGCTGAAGCGGCGTTTTGACACCCCCTCCTCCTCCATCTCCTCCTCCTCCTCCTGCTCCTCCTCCTCTCCCTCCTCTTCCTCCTCCTCCGTCCTCCTCCTCCTCCGCGTCCTCCGCGCCCGCAATCCTCCTCCAGCCCCTTCCTCCATCCGCCTCCTCCTCCTCGTCCTCTTCCTCCTCTTCTTCCTCTCATTCTTAAGAGCAGTATTGTTCTTATGATTACAATGTTTTCTTACAACGCTTGTTCCCTACCTAGGCTCTGCCTAGAAGGGTTCTTACCCTCTTTGCCTAGAAGGGCCGGGCAGTGTTGCCCGCCCCGGGCGGTTTCCCCGGCATCCGTCCTGCGGCTCCCCCAGCTGCGTCCCCTTACCTTAGCGTTGCTTATCTCATCTTAGTTTAGTTTGTTTCAGCTTAGCTTAGCTTAGCTTCATCTTAGCTCAGGCTTATCTTAGCTTAGCTTACCTTCATATTAGCTTCGCCGAGCTTTAGCATCGCAGAGAACAGCAGAGCATAGCAGAGCGTACCACAGCATAGCGCAGCACAGCATATCATAGCATAGCCCAGCATAGCACAGCATAGCGCAGCATAGCATAGCATAGCATAGCATAGCGCAGCACAGTACAGCACAGCATAACACCGCGCAGCATCGCATAGCATAGCATAGCAGAGCATAGCATAGCACAGCAGCCAAGCAAAGGCAAAGCAACAGCAGCGACAGCAAAGCAAAGCACAAGCAACGCAAAGCAAAGCAAAGCAAAATCAAAAGCAAAGCAAAGGAAAGGAAAGGCAAAGGTAAAACAATGTGCGACAGATGCCGAGCTAGCCTCGATGGCCGGACCGGAGCCCCCGCAAGCAGTGCCTTCCGTAACCATTTCGGCTCAAGTCCGGAGGCTAGCATAGCGCAGCGCTGCATTAGCATAGCATAGCATAGCATAACATGTCCAAACATAGCATAGCATAGCATAGCATAGCGCAGCATAGCATAGCATAGCATAGCATCGCATAGCATAGCATAGCATAGCATAGCATAGCGCAGCTTAGCATAGCATAGCATAACATAACATGGATTACTACAGCACAGCGCAGCAAGACATAGCATAGCTTAGCATAGCATAGTATTATCATAACATAGCATATCATAGCATTGCGCAAAATATAATAGCATAGCATAGCATAGCATAGCATAGCGCAGCATAGCATGGCATATCATAGCATAGCAAAACATAGCATAGCATAGCCACTGATGCTGCTTTCCTAAGGGCTCCAACTTATAGGTAGGGTCGCACTGAGGTTATAATTAGTATGTTTACCGTACCCCCCCCCTCTGGCTCAAGCCGTGATGGGGGAACCCCCCATCTCGAAGAGGCGTCCGACGCACCGCCCGAGCCGCGCGCCGGCCCCCCCGCGCGCGCCCCGGCGGCGCCCCTCGCCTCGCGCCGCCCTCGGCTGCCCTTCGACGCGACCGATCGCCTCCGAATGGCTGACAACACCTCGTTGATCAGGCCCTCTGTCGCACCCCCCCCCGGCTTCCCATGAGGTCAGCGACTGGGAGCTGGCGGGGCAACAAGTGCCTGAACCCGAGGACGCGGCTGCGCCAAGGAACGAGATGGGGCAGGAGGAGAGGGAGGAAGTCCTGATTTTTGGAGGCTGGTGGCCCTGCGCCCACCACCGCTGGAAAGTCGAGTGAACTACAGAGCGTGCAAGCTAGCAACGGGGCTGCCGCAGGCACTGTACGTCCACTTCTGACTGGTCATACCTCAACGACTGGCACCCTGAACTCCGACCCCCCCCCTCCACCGCCAGGACCAGGCAGCCCAGGGGAGAGGGAGAATACGGCGACAGACCCGCCCACGAGGACGAGAGCTCTCTTGCCGAACGTCCCGCCCTCTGCTCCCAACCTTTCCCCCCTACCCACTTTCAATATGGAAATGCGACTCTGTGTCGCCCTGAACCCACGAGTGACCCGCTATCGACGGACCCTCGACATTCTGACGCTTTGGCTCCTCTCTTTCCTTCTATCGCTCACGCTTCTGCGACCTTGAGTCACCCTGTACCCCTACCAGACAAACAGACCTCTCCCGCTCCTTTTCCTGATCATTCCGGCAATGCGACTTCGTGTCGCCCTGAACCCGCGGAAGGCGCTGCCTGCCCCTAGCCCACCTCTCCCTCCCCCCCCAGGTGGAAGCACATTCCGACCAACATGTAACCCTGTACCCATCGCGCAGGAACGTCAACGACGCGGCCCCCCCCGGAGTTGTCGGGATGAGTACCACGGAGGTCCCCAACTACTCAGAGGCTGTCACGGGACGAGACCTGGACACCATAGCGGGTGGGACGTGCCGCCCTGTAGGCCACGAGGCCGCAGCAGTCCGCAGACAACACGGAGCAGCGGCCACGACTTCCCAGGACGACCTACGAACGACGTGGACCGATCAGGCGACGGAGGGGCAGATCTTCAGATCGGCAGAGATCGGCCTACTCTCCCCGCCCAACTAGGCGCCACCTCTGGACCTGCTAACCCCCCTAACGCCAACCACGTGCCCCCCCCCCGTAGACGGCGCCCACGTTCCCGTAGGAGGGGCGGATCGCGAAGCGAACGGTCTCGACTTCCAAGCCGAGCTCGCTGCGCCAACGAAGGGCCCAACCGCCGAAAGGCAGGACTCGACACCTGCATTTCGGGAAGACGTACCAAGGGTAGCCATGGGCACTACCACGCCCACGGCAACGCGCACCGCCGATGCAACACACCCCATGGACGCGGGGCGTGGCCCCACCGACGCCCCAGCGCGTCGGGTACAGTACGAGTCGACGAGCGATGCGGGTGCCCCGCCAGAGGCAGCTGGTTGCGCAGGTCGTCACGTGGACCTGCAACAAATGCAGGTCCCAGCATCCTGCGACGCAGCATGCCTGTTAAAACCCTCGACGGTTTACGGATCTGCCCGAAATCCCAGGCAGACCTTGCCCAGGGACGCGCCCCGACCCCGGCACTCACTGGAGAATGCGGGGAACAACGTGCACTGGCCGTGCCCGAGGTGCCCTGCACTCACGCCCGTCACCGAAGAGCGCTGCACCCACTGTGACCAGGGACGATCGAAGGACTTCGATCAGTGGGGCCCCTTGGAGGACGAGGCTGACCTGCTATGGGCCCCCAGAACCCCTCAACAGAGCGCAGCCCTCACTAACATGATGAACTGGTTTGCGGAAGGATGCCGTCGAGACCCACCACAACGCGAGGCCAACCAGACAGGCGGCATCCCCGCCAGAACAGAGGTAGGTGCGCCCACGAGCGCACTGGGCGCAGCCGACGCCACCAGGCTTCTCGGGTCCCTGAGCGGCCACGACCGCGTAATCCGGCGAGGCGGGATAGAGCCATACGCGTATGAGCTCCTCGCGATACGATTTGCGCACCTGCACCAGAGTGTCTAAATTGCGCGCCCTGAACCATTTGGCCGACCCCCCGCCACGCGGGCGGAGCAAAGCATCGCCAACACCCATTCAAAGACCATGGAAGAAGCAGGAATGCAATTCAACATGGGGCTGCAGCCGCAGCGCGCAGGGCAAGGACTCGACCTGTTCCCCCTCGCCGGGCTGGAAGCAGGGCCCCCCGACCGCACACTGGTCAGAAGGGCGCTCATATGGGAATGCAGGCGCGGCAAGATGTCCTTCCCGTCCACGCGCGACATGTAAACATGGGCACGACTCACAGCGACGGGAGCCTTCCCGGATCGCGCTGTGGATGCCATCGGCGCGTCACCCGCGGGCTTCACTAGGACAGCACCTGCGGGGCTCGGGGGGCGCCCCCCTCTTGCTACCCGACACCCACGGAGATGGAGACATACGACTCTCCACGACAAGGCCATCCACGGCGACATGGCCAAGAAGGGACCCCCCCCTCGTGCCACCCCACGGTTTTAACCCGCACATACAAGCTCAATGCGGTACCCGCGGCTCCTGGAAGTTCCGAGGAGGCCCCCTGGCAGGGATGTGCCCCGTCTGCCCTCGGTTCAGTCGGGCGACCATGCAAGGAGCCGACTACGACCAAACCATCCCCGTCCAGGTCGTCCCAGGCGACTGGATTCAAAGGCTCCCCTTCGACTGTCTGGGCGACGCTGCCCTCTCAGCCCTGGCGCACGCAGCACAAGCATACGCGCCGCTATGCTCACTTGGGGAGGGACAGCTGGTCAGCTACACCCCCTTTCTGGCTTGTGGGTGACTTGCTCCTAACCTGTAAATGGATGGTCGACTCGGAAGACTCTGCATGGGCAAACCCAGCTGCGAGCGATCATCAACACGGGGCCGCGGCGGCGCTTTCCGCGCTATGCGGATCGAACCTCTGGTACGCTACGGATTTAGCATACGTCATCCGAGCCCAGGCCCCGAGGAACCGCGAGGTAGCAGAGTGGTTACCACGAGCCATTATCACCGCGCAGGAGAGCATCCCATCCGCCCCTGGCACTGACGACTGCCAAGCGCAAGCCGACGACCTCAAAGAACCAGGAGGCATGAACAGACTCGAGCATGTCGGGCGCTCCGATAGGGGCGTGGACTGGATTGCCCGCGTGACGGGCCTCAGCAGACACCAGACCAAACTTCCCGATGACCCCCTTTCTCGTGCGAAACCAGTACGGGGGCGGCATGACCGACGAAGTGCAAGAGGTAGCACTAGAAGGGACGGCGGCACTCACAACAGCAGCTCAACACGAACGTCGCCACGACATTGCCAACCTGCGACCCATGTCCCCGCTGAGCAGAGCGCCGATGCGCATGGCGGTCAGACGGCTCCGCGAAGACACCGCCAACACAAGCTCCAGGACAGGCCAAACGACCGCCGCGTCAGCGCGTGCCGATAGCGAAGCAGCGGACGCAGCCAGCGCCGCTGCGGGCGAGCGTGCCGAGCACGCGCCCGCCCCCACCCACCGAGACCAAAGTGCGCATGCAGCCCCAGCACACCTGAACAGCGCTGGATCCGCGACGCCCATGGAAGTAGACGCAGGGCGCGCCAC